GATTCAGGGCCGTCTTGACGGCCATCTTGGGCGTCTTGGTGGCCCCTTGGGCCGTCTTAGGGCCGGAGCCATCTTGGCAGCCTCTGAGGCCGTCCTGGGGCTATTTTGGAGGCTTGGGTGATCTTGGTGTAATCTTGGGAGCCTCTTGGGCCGTCTTCGGCCATCGAAAGGCCGAAAATTACCAAAGGGCAAGATCCTTCAGAAACCACAGGAACATGGTTTTGGCTTCTTCGGGCCCTAAGGAGGACCTCCTGGAGGCCTCTTGAGCCGTCTTGAGAGCCTCTTGGGGGCCTCTTGGGCCGTCTTGGAGGCTTCTTGGGCGGACTTGAAGGCATCTTGGACTCTCTTGGCACCCCTGAGCCCGTATCCAAGCGCGGCATCCGGTGACCCCCGACCAGGCAGCTGGAATGAATTGGTCACGCTATACGGCCCCTTATTGCCGCCACCGCACGTCACCCTTCCGCACGGGCACTACCTCTGGAGCCTGGACGCAGATGTCTGGCTGCCGGCCACTGACCCCGACCGTTTCTTCTTCCAGCAACTTCGCCGAATCTGGTGGCATTGATCCTCCCCCCCAACCAGCAGCGCGGCACCTCCAGCTTGCCCGCCGTGATGGACTTTGGCCTTCCTCGCTCTGTGGTCCTCCTTCGCTACAAGGACCTTGGCCGCCTCGGGCGCGCCCCGCACTTTCTGGGTCTCGCCCCCCACTCGGGCTCAGGCCGAGTGTTGGGGAATCACGCCCGTCATGCACAGGGCCTGGCACGCCGCCCAGACGGCAGTGCTAGCCCCCCCCCCGTCGCAGGCACAAGCCATGCAGGCCCAGGCTCAGCCTGCGGCGCACCGCCTGACCCAGCTCGAGTGCCAGCTCGAACACGTCCAGGCCCTTTCCGACCGCGTCCGCCGCACGACGCGACAGCATCACGACACGCTGCGTGAACTCCACGCCGCCGTCCAGCGTCAGGCTTCGCTCGTCCCTCCAGTGACGAGCGCCTCCGCCTCCGTCGCAGCCGCCCTCCACGCGGCCCAAACTCTTCTCGTGCGAAGCCCCAGCTAACCTTCTTCCCCACTTCGAGGCCCGTGCGCCGCCTGGCAAGCGTCCACTGTGGCTTTCCCCACGGCGGGTCCTGAAGGGGTGCTGGATGGATGCCGCCACTTCCAGCGGGGTACCGTCATGCCGGAGACGGGTGCGGTCCTCGCTTTGCCCAATCCGGTGGGCCCGGATAATTGCGCTGCAAGGTCACAGCCCGCCTTATCCTCGCTCGTGGAGGGTCCCGCTCGCCCCTCCCTTTCTTTCCGCGGGATTCTGTCCCCTGGCCGTCCGCCCAAGACGGGTGCGAAGGGCCCTTTCAGCCGACATCACCAGCCAAAGTGTTTCGGGTGCGGCGCGCTTGCCCGCCGGCCCGTGGACAGAACTCCGCCCAGACTGTCCGATCTCTTGGGCCGTCTTAGAGACCATCTTGGACCATCCTGGGCGAATTTGTGGCCATCTTGACCATCTTGGCCGTCTTGGCGACCATCGTGGGCCATCTTGGAGCCATATGTTGCAGGAAAAACCTTTGCAACCGGGTCGAACGCAGCTGTCTGGATGGCTGGCGACATCGGCCGAAGCCCCAGGGGGAGTTTTTTTGGAAAAGAACCAAAACGAAGCCGTGAGACGTTCAGCGCGCCAGGCACCCCTGTGATAAATCAGGGGGCGGCGGATCGAAGACGCCTACGGCGAGTCACCGCCGCCCCCTGCCTTTGTGGAAGCGCCTATGTGGCCGAACGTTGAGGCCAGACCTGCCAAGCCATCGGACCATGTGTTCCCCGAATCGGTTTGGAAAGCCTTCGGGGAACACGTGGGCGTCTTGATGGTCATCGTCGCCGTCTTGGAGGCCTCTTGGGCGATCTTTCGGCGATCTTTGGGGGCTCTTGGGCCGTCTCGGGCCGTCGGAAGGCCGAAAGAAGGGAAATGCCCAAATCCATCAAAAACCTTGGGAAAATCAGTGATTTTGGCATCTTTTGGCCTTCCTGGAGGCCCTCTTGGGGGCCTCTTGGGCCCTTTTGGGCCAGCTTCGAGCCAACTTCGGCCATCTTGGTGGGTTCCTGGCACGTCTGACGCCGTCGGGAGCCGTTTTGGGGGCCTTTCTGGGCCAACGGGGGACCCTCTTGGGGCGCTCCAGGGCCGTCTTGGAGGCCATCTTGGGCGTCTTGGAGGCCATCTTGGGCGTGTTGGAGGCCTCTTGGGCCCTCTTGGGGCCCTCTAGGGGCCATCTTGGAGGCCACTTGGGCCATCATGGGGCTCTCTTGGGGGCCTCTTGGGCGATCTTGGGGGCTTCTTGGGCCGTCTCGAGCCGTCGGAGAGCCGAAAAGGCGCAAATGCCAGAATCCTTCAAAAACCAAGGAAAAATCAATGATTTTGGCCTCTTCGGACTCTCCTGGAGGACCTCTTGGAGGCCTCTTGGGCCGTCTGGGAGGCCTCTGGGGGGCCTCTTGGGCCGTCTTGGGCCGTCTTGGACTCTCTTGGGCCGTTTTGGAGGCCGTCTTGGACCATCTCGGGCGGACTTGGAGGCCATCTTGGGCCATCTTCGCGATTTTTTGAGGATGTCCCGAGCGAAACGGCCGTTCTTGGAGGATTTTTTGCGGTCGTTGATCACGTTTGGGGAAATTCCGGGTGGCCGGCGGGTTCTGCCGGAGCCCACTGGGAAGTTCTTCTGGAAAAAGAACCAAAACCAAAACTGAATCATCCAGCACGCCGTGCACCCCTGCAAGCAGGGGGCGGCGGATCGAAGACGCCTACGGCGAATCACCGCCGCCCCCTGCCTTTGTGGAAGCGCCTATGTGGCCGAACGTTGAGGCCAGACCTGCCAAGCCATCGGACCATGTGTTCCCCGAATCGGTTTGGAAAGCCTTCGGGGAACACGTGGGCGTCTTGATGGTCATCGTCGCCGTCTTGGAGGCCTCTTGGGCGATCTTTCGGCGATCTTTGGGGGCTCTTGGGCCGTCTCGGGCCGTCGGAAGGCCGAAAAAAGGGAAATGCCCAAATCCATCAAAAACCTTGGAAAATCAGTGATTTTGGCATCTTTTGGCCTTCCTGGAGGCCCTCTTGGGGGCCTCTTGGGCCCTTTTGGGCCAGCTTCGAGCCAACTTCGGCCATCTTGGTGGGTTCCTGGCACGTCTGACGCCGTCGGGAGCCGTTTTGGGGGCCTTTCTGGGCCAACGGGGGACCCTCTTGGGGCGCTCCAGGGCCGTCTTGGAGGCCATCTTGGGCGTCTTGGAGGCCATCTTGGGCGTGTTGGAGGCCTCTTGGGCCGTCTTGGGGCCCTCTAGGGGCCATCTTGGAGGCCACTTGGGCCATCAGGGGGCTCTCTTGGGGGCCTCTTGGGCGATCTTGGGGGCTTCTTGGGCCGTCTTGAGCCGTCGGAGAGCCGAAAAGGCGCAAATGCCAAAATCCTTCAAAAACCAAGGGAAAATCAATGATTTTGGCCTCTTCGGACTCTCCTGGAGGACCTCTTGGAGGCCTCTTGGGCCGTCTGGGAGGCCTCTGGGGGGCCTCTTGGGCCGTCTTGGGCCGTCTTGGACTCTCTTGGGCCGTTTTGGAGGCCGTCTTAGACCATCTCGGGCGGACTTGGAGGCCATCTTGGGCCATCTTCGCGATTTTTTGAGGATGTCCCGAGCGAACCGGCCGTTTTTGGGCACGGTGGCGGGACGGGCCGGAGCCCACTGGAGAGTTCTTTTAGAAAAAGAACCAAAACCAAAACCTGAAACGTCCAGCACGCCGTGCACCCCTGCAAGCAGGGGGCGGCGGATCTAGTGGCCTTCGGCCAATCCCGCCACCGTGCCTGGGTTGCGGACGAGACCTCCATGTCTTGGAAGCCTGTTGAAGCCCTTTTTGAAGCCTCTCGTGGGTCTCCTGGAGGCCTCCTGGAGGCCTCTTTGGGGGCTCTTAGGGCCTCTTGGGGGGCCTTCGGGGGCTTCCTGGCGATCTCGCGAGCCATTTTAGGGTGGGAGGCTCGAAATCTTGGTTTGTGTTCTTCCTATTGGGCCCCACTTGGGCCCGCTTGGGGCCATCTTGGGGGCTCCTTGGGTCCTCTTGGCCCTGGCCGTCACAGGGTCGTTTTAGACGCTCTGGATATCGAAATGCAGAGTGTGTTAACAGCATGTATCCGCCTCGGGTTTCTGTTACATCATTCTGGCTTCTTGAGCCGGCTAACAGAGCCTCCACGACGGCCCAAGAGGCGCACAAGAGTGTTCCAGAATGGGACCAGAGACCATGTTACGCGATGTTGGAATTATGGAATCTCAGGCACGCTCCCGGGGCCTCCGAAACCACACGCGCTGAAAGCCCCGCGCGTCACGCGGGAATGCGTCCCAAAGAATTCGATGCAGTGGCAGTGGCTCTAGAAAACCTGAGGATACTCCACCCAGTGCCCACGTGACAGTGGCGGGTTACAACGAATACGGTATTTACTTTTCTGGATTGGCTGCATATTTGGGCAGCTGAACTCAGGTTTCCTCGCAGAAGCGCTAGCAGCAGAGTGCTGTCTAGATATAGTTTCCAACCAGCTGCAGCAGCTTGACGACAGCGGCGGCCAGCTAGAGAGTCGAGACCGCGTGTGCCTTCGCGGAACAGAACTGATCGCCCCCTTCATCCCATCCTCTTTCATCCCCTTCCCCCACTCTCCCTCTCCCCGCGTCGCCCTCCCGCCTTCCTCTCGCCCCCTCCCCGACACCCTGAAGCAGGCAGCCTTGGAGCCTCCACGGCCCGCTGGACGCCCCCCCGACCTGCAACAAAAACACGCGTGCGGCGCGCGCTGGACGCTCTGGAGCGCGCCTGGGAGTCCTGGGAAGCTCTGGACTCTGGTCAGCCTCGGGAGGCGCCGGGGGCGCCCGGGGCGGCCCCGGGACACCCTCGGGAGCGCGGGGCGCGCCGGGAGAGCCCGAGGAAAGCCCCGAGGGGCTCGGGGCCAGGGGAGAGGCCGCGGCCGCGGCGGCGGCGGCGGGGCTCGCGCGCCGGCGAGGCAGCGCTTCGAGCCCGACCCGAGCGCCGCCAATCCGCAGGAGCCGCCCCCCGCCCGAGCCAGCGCCGGCCCGCTCCCGGCGGCAGGGGCCCGGGCGGTGGGCCGCGGCGAGGAGGGTGCGCTTCTCTCCGGGCGTCGCGGGCGGCTCGGCGGGAGCTCTCGTGGCCGTGCCCCTGCCCCTCCCCCCCCTCCCCTCCTCCTCCTCTCCCCCTCCCTCCCTCCTCCTCCTCCTCCTCCTCCTCCTCCTCTCCTCCGCCTCCTCCTCCTCCTCCTCCACTCCCTCCTCCTCCTCCTCCTCCTCCTCCTCTCCTCCTCCTTCCCCCCTTCCCTTCCCCTCGCGCGCACAGGGCGGCCGCCGCGCCCGCTCGAGCCCCGGCTCCTCGTCGCTCCTCCTCCGCCTCTCGTTTTCTTCTCCATCCACTGCCTCCTGCCTCCGCTCTCCCGCTTCCCCCGCCCCTTGCATCCTCCATCCCCCGTCGCCCCCCCCCCCCCCCGCGGTTTCCCAGCTCTCGTTGTTGTTGCATGTTCGGTCGGAACCGTTGTTTTGTGGATTTCCCGCCTGGTGCCCAGTGCGTTTGCTTCAATTAGAGAGTTCCTTCCGGGGCCCCCCTGTTTTCTACAATGGCACATCTTGGGGCTCAAATTGTGACCCTGACCCCCCAGTTTAGAACACCAGCGGCTCCTGCCTGACAGTTTCCTGCAATCTATTCCAAAGTCGCGCTCTCTCTCGCGGGACTTCCTCACAGTGTATGCAGGAGTCGCGCTCTCGCGTGGAGCTTCCTCGCAGTTTATCCGGGCGCCGCGCCCTCGACCCTCAGGACTCGCGGTCTCGCCTTGGCCTGCCTCGCGATCAACTTGGGAATCGCGCTATCGCTCGAGACTTCCTCCGGATTCATGCAGGACGCACGCTTCAGCAACCCGCCTGCTCGACATGGCTGCCTGGCCCGCCTTCCCGACCCTCACGTTAGGGCCTACCCGCTCGATCAGCTCGTTTGGTTCTGCCACATCTTTTCTCCTCCTAGGCCCCCTGCTAATCTCTCTCGTGCTCCGTCCTTCTCCCTCCCCTTCCATGCGTCCTCTCGTCCCCTGCTTTAGGGGCTGCGCTAAATTCACGTGGCAGGTAAAGAAGATATAGGGTACCGAGGGTTGGGGGTAGACTTGTTGGCACGCGAGCAGGTAAGAGTGAGCAGTTGTCCAATGAGTGTAGAATGCCTTCGTAAGAATAATTGTTGTTGATCCCCCCTCCGGAGCGCTTCGTGTTGTTCAATTGAGGTGCTCCTCCCGGGCCTTGCACTCTGTTTTTCCAAGGGGAAGTCTTGGTGCCAAACCCCGGCTTACAACAACAACAACAACAACAACAACAACAACAACAACAACAACACCACCAACAACAACAACAACAACAACCACAACAACCACAACAACAACAACAACACCAACACCAACACCACCACCAACAACAACAACAACAGCAGCAGCAGCAGCAGCAACAACAACAACAACAACAACACCACCAACAACAACAACAGCAACAACACCACCAACAACAACAACACCAACAACAACAACAACACCAACAACAACAACACCAACAACAACACCAACAACACCACCAGCAACAACACCAACAACAAACGCATGATCAGCAACAACATCAACATCACCAACACCAACACCAGCAACAACAACAACAAAGGCTCCAACTCGGCACTGCCTCACAACTTATTTTAAGTTCGCACCTTCGCGCGGGACCTCTTCATAATTTATGCAGGAATCGCGCTCTCGCGTGGGAATCCCTCAGAATTTATTGCGGTGCCGTGCCCCCCACAGTCAGGAATCGCGCTCTCGCTGGGGATTTCCTCACCATTCATTTGGGAGTCGCGCTATCGCTCGACACTTCCCTGCGATGCATGCTGGATTGACGGTCAGCAGCCCGCCCGCTCGACCTGGCCGCCTGGGCCCGCCCGCCCCCTGCCCTCCCGTCAGGGCCTACCTGTCCCTCCCCCCCGTTCGATTCTGCCGCTCGTACTCCTGCTCCTGACCCCCCCTGCAGATCGTTCTCGGAAACTGGAGCATATACGTTAGCAGTGGCGGGCGGTTTTTCAATCCCAGGACTTTTTGAGGGTCGGGGACGGCGTTGGGGTGGTGTGGTGTATACGTTTTTCCCCGATGTCCTGGGGAAACGACGAATAATGTATACACCAGGGTCCCGTAGACACCAGGATCCGTTCTCCAGTGCAAATTCCAAAGCAGGGCCGGAAGAAGCGTCGGTGTATAGAGTTCGGTTCCCTAGCATCTTTCTCCCTCCCCCTTGTCTCTTCCCCCCTCCCTCCCTTCACTTGTTTTAGGGGCTGCGCCAACTGCACGCCGCAGGTAGGGAAGATATCTCAAGGGGGGCACCATCGAAGACAGAGGGGGCGAGTATCGAGTATTTGGAATATACGTGTTGAATTGCACACGAGCAGATCAGAACGAACGGTTTTAGATTTCTTGAGTCATCATTCTAGAAGAATATTTACTGTTGATTCCCCCTCACCAGTGCATACTGTTTTTCTCAATCAAAGTGTGCCCCTCGACGCTCGCACCCTGTTTTTTGACAGGGAAAGTCTTTCTGCTCAAACTGGGCCCCTGGCCCCCGGGATTACAACAACAACGGTTCCCGCTTGAGACTTCCTCCAAATTTAGTCAGGACTCCCACTCTTGAGATTTCCTCACAATTTACTCAGGATCGGTGCTCCCGCCTGTGACTTCTTCGCAATTTAGTCAGGCCCCCCGCTCCCATCTGAGACTTCCTCACACTTTACTCAGGAACGGCGCTCCCGCTTGAGACTTCCTCGCAATTGAGTCTAGACTTCCTTGCAATCTAATCAAGACCCTCGCTTCTGCAGGAGAACCCCTCCCGTTTTATTTAGGAATTGCGCTCTCGCCTGTGACTTCCATGCAACTTATTCAGAAATCGTGCTTTCGACGCTCAGGAAACACGCTGCGCCAAGGACGCCTTTACAATTTACTTAGTAATCGCGCTCTCGCCAAGTTCATGCATCCCGCTTGCATGTCTCACCCGCCCGACCCGCCCGTCAGGGGATCGCCCGCCCGTCGTGGGCTCCCGCCCGCGACTTCCTTCAGGAACGGCGCTTTCGCCTAGGACTTCCTCGAACCTTCACGCGTTTACCTTCCTGCTCCTCCTTCCTGCTCCCTCCTCCTCCTCCTCTCCTCCCTTCTCTCTCCCTCCTCTCTTCCCTCATCCTTATGTCTCTCTGCCCCATCCCTTCTCCCTCCTCTCCCTCCTCCCTTCTCCCTCCCCTCCCCTCTCCTGCCTCCTTCCTCATTTTTTTGTTTTTTGTTTTTCTTTTCTTCTCTCTCTCTCTCTCCCCTCTCTTTCTCTCTTTCTCTATCTCTCTTATATGTCTTTCTCTCTCTCTCTGCCTCTAATCAACTGCCCCCCCTCATCGCTCCTTCTCTCCTGGCGTTTTCCATCTTCCTTCGTCCCTCCCCCTCCCTTCCTCCCACTCTCCCTCGTTATCCCCCTCCTCATTTTCAGGGCCCACACCAATCCCAATGGCGGGCACGTGCACGCCCGCGAATGATTGTCCGCCCGTTCAGGTTTGCCCGCCAGTCTAAGCCCGCCGCCCCCCCCGCAAAGAGAAATAATCACCCCAAAGGGGGTATGATCCAAAACAAAAAGGGCGGGTATCGAGGGCGTGGGAAATTCGTTTTGACTGTCACACGGGCAAGTATTAGCGAACAGTCTTATACTGATCGTTGTTGTTGTTGTTGTTGTTGTCGTTGTCGTTGTTGTTGTTGTTGTTGTTGTTGTTGTTGTTGGTTGTTTGTTGTTTGTTGTTTGTTGTTTGTTGTTTGTTGTTTGTTGTTTGTTGTTTGTTGATTGTTGTTTGTTGTTTGTTGTTTGGTGTTTGTTATTTCGTGGCTTGTTGTTTGTTGTTTGTTGTTTGTTGTTTGATGTTTGTTGTTTGTTGTTTGTTGTATGTGGTTGTTATTGTTGTTGTTGCTGTTGCGGCTGTTGTTGTTGTTGTTGTTGTTGTTGTTGTTGTTGTGGTTGTTGTTGTTGTTGTTGTTGTTGTTGTTGTTGTTGTTGTTGTTGTTGTTGTCGTTGTTGTTGTTATTGTTATTAGTGTTGTTGTTGTGGTTGTTGTTGTTGTTGTTGTTGTTGTTGTTGTTGTTGTTGTTGTTGTTGTTGTTGTTGTTGTTGTTTATGAGGTTGAACTTGCACTGCTGAATAACAAGTACTGTTGCTCCCCCTCCGATACACATTGTATGTATTCTCAACCCTCCTGTGTTGGGTTCTCGTTTTGAACAGAGCAGTGTGGTCTCCACCCTCCTCCTCCCGCCCACCCTCTCCCCCCCTCTTCCCCATCTCTTGTTTCCTGTGTTCCCCTCTCCTCTTCTCTCGTGCCGTCGGGCTGCGACGATTTGCGCAACTGTCGCCATTTTCGTGGGCTCCTGGTAGGCCCAGCGGGGGTACGCCATACGCGGGCCACCTCGGGACCTCGCCGCCCCCTGGGGGGCTTGCGATCTGCGCAGTTGTCGCCACGTTCGTGGGTTCCTGGGGGGCCCAGCGACGACATACGGGGGCCACCTCGGGACTTCGCCGCCCCCTGGGGGGCTTGCGATCTGCGCAGCGATCGCCACTTTCGTGGGCTCCTGGGAGGCCCGGCTGAGGTGCGCCATACGCGGGCCACCTCGGGACCTCGCCGCCCCATCGGGGGCGTGCGATCTGCGCAATCGTCGCCACTTTCGTGGGCTCGTGGGGGGCCCAGCGGAGGTACGCCATACACGGACCACCTCGGGACCTCGCCGCCCCCATGGGGGGCTTGCGATCTGCGCAGCTGTCGCCACGTTCGTGGGCTCCTGGGAGGCCCAGCAGAGGTACGCCATACGCGGACCACCTCGGGACCTCGCCGCCCCCTGGGGGGCTTGCGATCTGCGCAGTTGTCGCCATTTTCGTGGGCTCCTGGGGGGCCAGCGGGGGTACGCCATACGCGGACCACCTCGGGACCTCGCCGCCTCTTGGGGGGCTTGCGATCTGCGCAGCTGTCGCCACTTTCGTGGGCTCCTGGG